GATTTTCTAAAAAACTGGAAAATCAACGAGTAATTTTCAGATTCATGGAAATTATTTATGGAATTCAACTACGATTTTCTAGATTGTTGGAAATTCGATTTTCTATAAACCGGAAAATCCTCGAGCAATTTCTGTAGGTACTATTTGAAATGCGCCGAGCATTTTCCATAATTGTCTTTTTCTGAATTCGCGGTAATGTCGTTCGCGGTAACGTCGTTCGCGGTTATGTCGCTGTATCGTTTTGTAATTTTATCGACTTTTGGAAAAATGACTGGGCTGGCATGCGGGCCATCAAATTGCAGCCCGGTCCGATACGGCCCGTAAACAAGATTCAAAAACGTATCTCTGCTGTGAATACATCGACTTTGAGATTATAGAACTGTACTATCACGAGAGCGAAAAATATGTCGTTTCTTTGAAAGAACTTATTTTTAATGCTTTGTTTTTGCAGTACACTGTGTCAGAAAAACTTATTTTTTGTTGCTCTCAAATCTCTAAGAACTTTTAAATAACTTCTTCAACTAGTTCACGCAAAACGCGTTTCTTTTTACTGTGTATATATTCTCGAGGATTGTCCTATGTCACTTCACATAACAATGCTCTTGTTCGCTTTGTATTTCTATCTATAGATAATCCAATTACATTCGAATTAAAACAGACGCTACGTTTTGGTTTTGGACCAATTCAGTAGTATTATTAACTGTGCATCATTGATCTGGGACCAAACTTGAAAGAATATGGGTAAGGATGATACATTGTCTATTTTACTGAAGTTATCAGTGAACTCCTTCAACTTATCAATCGCTTTTGCTAAGAAAATTCTAGGACTGCTAGAAGGAATCGATAGTGCTGATTCCAAATATAATGATCGGGGTAGACTCTGGCGATCAGTTTCTAGATCAACATCTCACTTTGAAACGGAGTTCTGCTTTGGAGACCTAGTGTTTCACCCAATCTTCGAAGCTCTATAGACAGCCATGATACTTATTTATCTAGAACCAATACCATCGCTTACTAGTCGCTCTGGAATTTTCATATGGAAAGAAATTTAGAAGTTATTGAGGTTACACATGAAAAAGTACTATTCCATCTTATCTTTGAAAAATCATTCGTAAAGAAGATTCGTGTTCTGTGAAATCTACAATAATGTTTTTCTGTTTATATATTTTTCTAGAAAAGTTTAATGAACAACTTATTCAATATGAGAGAAACATGCACAACAAACTTACATTTGAAAACTGTACCGTTCGAAATATTGTTTTACTTGGTCGTACGCGTGTTGGTAAGACAACACTTGCACAAGTGCTGAAGCATTTACGGTATGTCCCACCACAACGAGGTTTACATATCCGAACAAGAGAAATTGAATTTATTAACATAGCTTCAACAAGCCTTAAGGAAAATCAAGATATCGTATATAATTTTAATATTGTCGATACACCAGGCTTTTATCAAACAATAAAGCCTCCGGATCCTAAATTATCAAATCAAGGCATAATAAATTTAATTGATGATTACCTTGCGAATGATCGAACACAAATTCATATATGGGCATTCGTTGTGAATTTTCATGACGGTTTCAGTAAGGAAGATCTAGAAACAATGATACTTATTAAAACGCATTATCCAACATTACATCAATATATGTCTTTAGTTATAACTCAGTGTGAAACAGCAGGTGACAAAGCAAGACAAAACTTTGTCAATACTATTTTTGATAACCCCGATGTACGAACGCATCAATTAAAGAACTATTTTGGACTCCAAGTTTATTTCATGGGCTGTTTAAGACCAGAGACAAGTATAGCATGTAACCTACAAGCAGCCAAATCAGAATTAGCAAATGTGGCTACAATGAGAGAAAATTTTATTAAACTTTGTATTAATCGGAAAGATGATCAAGATTATAGTCAGTCTCCATTAATATTGTCATGGAAATTAATCCAACGATTGTGTTGGCGTTATTACAAAACAAATAGGAATAAGTGTCTGCTTCTTGGTGGTGCAATTTTAATCATTTTTATGGCTTTGATAATGAATGTGAAGTGAACATTTTTGACATGGGAATAGCTTAGAACCATTCAAATGTATAGTTTAAAAGATGAAAATAGGGTTTTTTAGGTTTTAAATACTGAAGAAAATAATTTAAGCTCAAAAGTATAATAGAACAAGTAGATAATAAATAGTCGGTTTTTAAACGACTACTTATTTAGCTAAATAAGTCTAGCTTGCACGAAATTTGAGATCGTCGATTCCACGAATTGAACTGTGGTAGCAGTAACGGGAAGCTGAAAAATAAGTCATAGATATACATCAATATCAATCAATATGATCAATACTACGGACTGTAAGCTAGTAGAGTAGGCTAAAGTAACGTTAATTAGTAGTAATTAGTCTATAGTAGGAAGGAAAGAGCAAAAATCTTTGCATATTTTCTGGTAGTAAATATTCTTCACACATTTCTCTATCGATCTAAGCAAGAACTAAGTTTTTATGATAAATGGAGAATGGACAGGAAGCTTTTAATTATAGTCACTTGTTCAAAAATATAACACTATTTTTTTCAGTAATTAATTTATTTCTCAGCTAAATAATGTTAGTAAGTCGAAAAAACTTCAGAACATATACTTCGAAGTATCCTCTACAAACTGAAAATGTTAGAAAAAAATTTAAATGGGGAACCCCCCCTTAAGGCTATTTTAGTTAGCTAACTTGTGCAAAAATCAGGAAAATTTCTAGTGTATCGTTTTGCTTTCGTTGAAAAGAAAACTATCTTCATAATGCAATAAAATAGCTTATTTGATTTGAAAACGGATATATAAGTACATAGAGTGCTTCGGGATAATTAGAGACACTCTCTGAAATTTTCGTCCTTTTTTTGCTATTTCTTGACCGTTTTTGATCGGAGAAAGTTGCTATTGAACACGGTGGTAGGGTAGACCGAGCATTTTTCTACACGTTCATGTAAAAATCTTTAGAAAATGTTCGACATATTTGAAGCCAAATCCAAAATGCGAAGAGCTTCACTAAAGTGTCTCTAATTAACTTCACTTATATGCTTGGGGTAAATAGAGATGTTCCATTCAAATAAATGGAGTTTTAATGTACAATTGCTGGTTAATTAAGCTTAGGCGATAATTAGTTCAAAAATGTCTCATTTGTAGTCCGGATCTTCCTCTCTCTACCATATAGTTTTGAGCACATTATCATTTAAACTCATTAAGCTAATTAGCATATAATCAATAGCACTAGAACTCTTTTCTTTTTCTTTTTTATGCTTTGGGGTAAATAGAAACACTCCACTGAAATACACAGGATGCTCAGAGACAAACCTTTACCGTCTCTCAGAAGCCGAATTTGGTATTAGACCAAGTGACAAAGTTCTTCAGACTGCTGAGCTCTATCGCATATATAAAAATTAGCTCAATATTCTAGTTGATAAGCTATCATACTGGCTTCACTCTATGTGGGATATTAATGAACATATTTTACGGGCTAAATTAATTTTAAAATTAATTATGACACCTAGAGACAAAAAACTTTGATAAAATCTTCTGTCTATGGCTTACATAAGCATCTCCTCTATCGAATGCAAAAACAATCATCTGAAAATTATGAGAACTACGCAAGATAACACCAAATTATCCCACATATGTCTCCTCTGAAGGACACATACAATATGATATCAACAGAAAATTGCCAGCAGATCACAAAGCAATGATATTGCAGCTTAGTATTATTCATATATAACAGTAGTTAAAAAAAGTTTAGTGTTAAGAGTGAAAAACCAACCCAAAAAAAAACCCACCCCCATAGAGTGTACTAATTAATCAAAAAGACTTGCGTCGTTGGCATAACGTCTAATTGTGCAAAATGTGAAGACGAATGTACGTTGGTAACCAGAACAATATAGACCGGCTTCATTAGCGCCAGTTGTGCATTGAATGAAAGATGTAGTTGACTTCTTACATTTATAACAGTCAGGATAAGTCGGGAGGATAGGATGAGATGAATAAGGCTGAGAAATAGATATGGATATGTATTATGACATGTAATCAGACGTTGCATTGTCTCAAAATGAAGGACGCGATACATTCTTAGAGGTGTAAACGTCTGATTAGCTGGTACAATTTATTTGAGCCAGATGTGAAACACTTTTGAAGGTATTTTGTGTAGTTGACCTTCATGTTTGCAATTTTGGAGGTGCTGCTACTAAGGGATCAACATTCTCTAGTTCTGAAATATGCAACTGGAATAGTTAAGACTGTTACAGATAATATTTCTTCAACTATGCCTTTATTGAGATTTTTTCTTGACTTTTTCACTGGAGTCGATTTTATCGCTGATGTAGCAGCTCTATGTGTTCGTGTTTTGGTTGTAGCTTCTTCCTCAATAAGTTGTTGTAACGCTTTTTCTTCAGTCATCCCCGCACCATATTTTCTGATTAATAATTTTCTTGCATTATTTTCTGTCTGCGTCGGCGGTGATGTTGTTTTCAATGTTTGTAATGCAGTTCGAATGGCGCTTAAAGGACAAATTGGATCTTGGCGAATTATGGTAATTGAACTATTTGCTGTTGAGATGGACGGTTGAGTTAAATCAAGCGGCGAATCAGCTGACACTTCTTCATGAGAAAAGTCCAGGTTAAGCAAAATCAACGCATTGAAGAAATAAACCATGACTTACCTTTCTCCCATTCACTTGTATTTAAACTAACTCGTGTCGTGCTATCATTTGTTAAAAGACTATGGTTCCAGTCACTTCTGTTTATGTCGAATACAATTGAAAATCTAACCTGTTTCTTTCTTTCTGGAGTCTCTAAATAAAAGATTCATTTTAAACGCCATTTAAATTAAAAACTTAGTGCATACGTTTAACCCACAAACTTGTATTGATATCTAACTAAATGAACGGTTGTGTTGTTATCGGCCATGGTTACTCGACGACTTGATACAGGTGTGCTGGTGGTTGTTAGATTTAATAATAACTCACCATCATCATAGTCTACATTTTGTAGAATTTTTTCTTTGATTACATTACTTCGATCAAGAGAATGTTACCCGTTTTTCATAAATCCTACGAAAGAAGAATTATTTGAACATAAAATAGTGAAAGAAACATGACGTTCCTAGCACACTATCTGATTTCTTAACGGCTCCTTTTTCAAATAATTGAGCTAGTAAACCCGGAAATCAATCTTTGTTCAAACGTTTATCTGCATTTTGATTGCTCGCTAATATTTGCCGTAACAAATGTCGAAATTATTGGCGGCTTTGTCCCGTATATTCGACAATATTGCTAAAATCCTTCGGAATTTGGACTGGCAAAATTCCTACTGTGAAACTCCAGGTGGCGAAATTTTACGATATCAGTGATATTGACAATCCGATTAACTCCACAAATTCAAGCGCTCTTTTCCTGAAAAATAGCTGAGCATAGTGTCTAACTTGTGCACTCGAAGTTAGCGTAAAACAGGCAAGTAAACTACTCTCGACTTAGTGCGATATTAATTGATCAAGTTGGCGGATTATGCATTAAATTCACAGTGAGAGCGAAAAAGATTACAAAACTAAATCCACACTAAAATAGAAAATTTATTCTTTTTCATTTCATTCATTAAAACGGAAATGTTCTATAACTATAGAAAAATAAATCTTTTATAACTACCATACGTAAGATAGTAAAATCGACGCCATTGAGACAGAAGAAGAAGAATACGGCATATTTGAAGTCCCAAGTTGAACTTTGGTGTTAGAAAGACAGAATGTGGTAAGGGGAAAGAATCAGAAAGACCGAAAGCAAAATATTCACCTTAAAACGTCAAATTTATATAGAACGTTTCACCTATAACGATACATGAACGCTGCTCAAATGAGTAGCTTCTTCATTTAGCTCTGCCAACGAGCAATTGATTTGAAAGACTTACCTACTATGGCCCGAAGACAAAGCCGAAAAGGCATCTTACTTGAACGAATTCTTCCAGAACTTGACCATTAACATTTAATTTATTTAAGTAAGGCGCCGCTAATTCAAAAATCAAGTGGTTTGAAAACAAATCAAAAAAAAAGTTATTGGCAAATCTCCTAAAGGATTTCGAGTCAGCCGGATCTGTGAAAGTAAAATGGCCTTATCTCAGCCTAGAGATGTCCTAGAAAGCTCGAGGACGTCTCATTTTGCTCCGAATTTGACGCTCTATCGATGGGATGTGCTTGGGACGAAAAAGATTTCCAAAAGGCTCTTGAAGGCTTCTCAGAGTTCTGTTTGTTTGCAAAACCTACTT